ATGAATGAACCAATTGAGTTTGATTAATTCTGTAGAGTTGTAATCGAGCCGAATCGAGTTTAATTATTTTGAAACTTAGTTCGATTATGTGCGAATTTGATTATTTTGAATCTTGTTAGATTATGTTTGAACATTATCCGTATCCATTTATTTATTATTCGAACAAAAAAATATATTCGGTTCATTTATTCAATGGTAGGTTTTGCGCTCGGCCCATATATTCTTTTTACAATTATGTATATTTTTATTACAAAATGACATACTTTAATTAACATCATAAACATGAGTATAACTAAGTTATGACATTCGTTAGTATAAATATGCATTTTTGTTCATAAACTATGGTTGGTCGGCCCGTTTAATGTTTAGACTGGCTCACCAAAGAATTTGTGTTCGTTCAATTGTTCGTCAGAGTTTGAATTCATTTGTATATTTTTCTTTTAATAAACAAGATTTACAAAGTTTTTTGATTAACCCGAGTACGATTTGTTCGACATCGTTCACTTTCAAAATTAAAATTTTTGAAAATTAACAAAATATATTGGTATTTTACACCCTTTATTATAAATAAATAGTTTATATATATGTATTGAATAAAAGGTTTGCGAATATTATCAAACGTTTCGTTCGATTAACAAACAAGCCTAAATTTTATCAAAATCCTGATCGATTGATAAAAAAACAAGTTTTATCCTAATTAAAACAAGCTTTTGTCTATAAAACATGCGATTCATTAACATCCCCTTACTATAATAAAATATGATAGTTTAATAAACTCGATTTTTAAGTAGACAATAGTTACGTCAGTATCATTAGTTGCACAAAAAATGTACGCTTATACTTCTCATCAGAATAACGACGACTATTATAAAACGATTTAGCTGTTACACGAATCAACTAATTAATGTCCAAATCGCTCCAAATTTTCTGACACACACCTAATTTAGTAAATATAATTGATATTTTATCTATCTATTTATTTATTTAAATGCAGCCCAATAGAGTCTAATTTGAATCTCAAGGGCATATGAAGATATATCTCCATCAACAACGGAGTACAAAATAATATCAATGTCTCCAAGCCTTTTAGATGTTGACAAATGAACTTATTAACAAATACGTCTTAACCAAAAAAGCCTCCATTTTTGTGAAAATGACCTAATCTTTTGTCCTTCAAAGCCCCACAGTTTTTGTCCAAACAACTAACCCCTAGCTAAAAAACCTCCACAAGAAGACAAAAACCCTTAAATTAAGACATCACAACAAAAGGACCATAATAATTTATTATAAATCATAAGAAAAAAGTTAAAATAGTGCAACAGAAGAGAACAAAAGTGATAATAATTAATAGTAACATTAGTTGTTGTTTATTAAGATGACATTGTTGAGAAGGTAAGTACATATGACTATAAAAAGTCAAATATGGAACAACGAAGTGTTTTTATCGTTTTGTTCATTTGTCCAAACTTAGCTGTTCTTTACCATTTAGTGGCCACTCGAGCTTTCGAGATCAACGAGTTGCTCGTGATCTCAACTTAGCTCGATTTGATTCGTTTGATAAACAAACTAAGTTTAGAGCTTGTTTAGTTACGTTTGGTTTATTAAGATTTGAAAAAAAAAAAAAATTATCAGCGTTTGAGTTTTATTTTTTACTATTTATAATTGAACCAAGCTTGATTACTTGAATATCAAGAGTTTGAGCTCAATTTATTACCAAGGGGGAAATAAAAAGCAAACCTAACTAAAATTTAAGGCTTATGGGGATTTTATTTTTATTTTATTTTTTCCTTTCAAAAGTGGACACTTTGATCAGCACCACCTAAAATGCTAGAAAAAAGTGTTCAAACAAAGGGAATTGATTTGCTCAATTTTCTAATTTTATTTTTATAGTTTCTTTTTATTTGGTAGTTGTGCCTAACCCTCTTAAATCCTATTGATTTCCCAAGATTGTACTACTATTAGATATGCCAAATTTAATGAACAAGTAAAAATTGCCCCTATAGAGTTGTACCATGTCAAGAGTTGTATTATATTTGATAAACCTAGCTGATAAATTAGCTTATGGCTTTTAAAGTTATGTTGGTTAATATAATTGATAAACTAGCTTATAACTTTTTTGAATTTCGAGCTTATAGCTGGTAGTTTATGACTTATGTCTGAAAAGCTAATTTATATGATAAATTTTTTTGGTAAAATTAGTTGTCAAGATAGCTGAAATGAAAATTTCATTGGTCTTATTTGAAAAGTTATCAAAGAGAACTTATCATAAAAGTTCGAGTTTTTTAAAAAAATTCGTTCTACCAAACCAAATTTATTTGAATATAAGAATAATCTTATAAGATAATCAAATTATAAATTATAAACTAACTTATATACTTTCTTAATTGTCAAACATATTGATGTAAATCTAGTCATATAAATTATAAAACTAAGACTTAAATATCAGAATGACTAAAAAAATGCCAAATGAATAGAATTAAGTATATGGAAAATATAATGAAAGCAATAAGAAGATGAAACGTGGACTTTAAAAGGCTAATTTGAACACTATAAGTACCACTAAATTAAATTTTCAAGTTTGAAACCCCTAAATAAGTACCAGTAAAATTTTCAAGATTGAAAACCCCTAAAGTTTTGGAGAAAAATCTAAGAAAATCTATAAATTTTAACCCTTTAAATTGAATCAATCCATCAATCAATCAAAAGTTCGATTCATTTCATAGAATACTTTTCGAAACATTTCCCCTGGATATCATGTATCACATTCAATTATATATCATGATTGAAATCATTGAATTAACATATTGAATTAGTTGATTTGATTAACTAAAGGTGTTTGATATGTAAAATTAACTAAAATTTGAAATCCCTATCTCACGTGTCTTTTATATTAACGAGCTTTTTTAAAAATTAGTGTTTTGATGTAGAATTTATTTTATATATTTATATAAAAAAAGTTATAACGGATCAAATATCTAATTTACCCTCAAACTTATAAGTCTGCCACAAAATGCAAATTATACATACCACCATATTTTTTATGTATAAGATATTGTTGTACATTGATAAGGAAATCAGTTACATCCACAAAAGTTTTTGGATTATATTCAAAATTATATCGACTTTGAGAAAACAAAAAAAAGGTATGATGCCAATAATTATTCAAATCAATGTTTTGTGATTGTGAAATTCATTTTTCGGATTGATGTCTAATTCTAATTTTCTTCCTAATAAATTAAAAAATTTTTTTTAAAAAAAGGAAAAGGATTTTGTGATATAATTTTTTGGTGGAGGGGTTTCTTTTTGGCTTTTGTCATTTGTTGGTGTGTTTGGGTAGGGCTGCAAACGAGTCGAGCCGCTTGCGAGCGCTCGACTCAAAGCTCGATTCGATCTCGAGTTTGACCGAACTCGAGTCGAGCTCGAGCGGCTCGAGCACGAACTCGAGTTGAGCTCGAATCCATATTTTGCATTGGCGAGCGGCTCGCGAGCAGCTCGAGATATATGAAATTACTAAAATACCCCTTGTGTATATATGTATTTAATGGTTATTTTTTGAATTCGAGTTGAGCTCGAGCTACTTGTATTTTTTTATCGAGTCGAGCTCGAGCCTAAAAAATCGAGCTCGAGCAGCTCGAAAAAAAAATTCAATTCTGCTCGATAAGCCAATGCTCGACTCGGCTCGGCTTGTTTGCAACCCTAGAAAAGGGACTCAATGGTCCACCACTTTTAAAACGCTGTTCAAAATTTTTGTAACAGGTACCCATTTAAAGAAACAAAACACTGTACAAGAGGAGAAAAAACAGGGGTAAATTAATTGCACTCTTTAATTTTGTTGGCTTTAAGGTGGTTTATATGAGATGTTAATACATTATGGAACACGTACAAACAGAATTAACTCTTTCATGGTTCACTTATCACTGCTGTAAAAAGACATTTTTTTCTTAAATAATTAAGAAGGATTTTTCTTTTGATTATTATTAAAAAAAAGCGTTTTATTATAGTCTAATGACGGATTGGTGTTAAGTGTTAACCTTATAACTGCAAAAGTAGACCTCATCTATGATATTATGTCGTTATTATCCCTAATTTTCATGACCATGAAAAGTTGAATTTCTTATTCTATATAGTGGTAGTCTAATTATTAGTCTTCATATTACATGAATGAAGTGTTGTTCAATGAATGCACATAAATTATATTATATATGATAATTCATATAAAATAATGAGGATAATGAAAAAAAAAAAATGTGGGTAACATCAAATTTCCAACAACCCACAATAACTTGATTAGACAAGATTCGTAACTTCTCATCGTTTAATCAACATATTCCACATCTAAATATATGTGTTCTCATCAAACTTTTTATCATTAAATCAGCATACCAACATTTGTAACTATGTGTGATTGATCCAACGATAAAATCAGGTTTTTCCGTATTAACATGAAATAAACCTACCAACAAGAATGGCACTAGGTGTCTAATATGGATTGGTTAACTCAATACTTTGTAACAATTGCAAAATGACCACAAATCCTAATTCAAATACCACACTTGAAATTATCACTATATAAGAAACTGACATTAAATCAAAGTAGGATAGGAAAACTTAGTACTATAATTCCTAGGCAAGTAGAGTGTATAATACTACATATTGGATCACAATTCACAACACAATGGCTTCTCTGAGTCCACATACTGAATTAGCTTCCATAAAACGACATACTAAATCGATCAACTGTCGATAAATCCGACGCCACTCTAAGTAGCCTCTAAATCCGACCACGAAATCGAGCATTTCATCCATCGACCCAAACAGACATCCGAATGTACAAAAAACCCCCCACAAAAACATTAATCACAAAACAAACACAACCACACAACCATATGTTGCTAAAAAAACACAGACACATGCGATCACTGGGTCACGCATTCAAGACACAACTCGTAAATCATTATAATTAGTAAGTCAAACAAATTCGTCGTCGCCCCCGAAAAAAGTCAAGAGTGCAAGAACTCGTTCATCTCGTCCATCAAGCAACAAAAGTGCTCGTTGTTCGGCAAGAAATAGAACCCTATCGTCGCCTTCTCCAGAAAAAGCAACCGAACCTCAACCCCATTTTTCCTTAGCCCATCCACATATCCCAATTGCCAATCCTGCAAAAGATCAAGCCCGGCCACCACAACCAAGCTCTTGGGAAACCCAAGACTCTTAATGGGCTGGGCCCTTGGCCCAAACACATTACAAGCCGGGTGGTCCCTATCTTCCCCCTCCGGCAAGTAGGCCCGCCAATACCAATCCCTATCCTCAATTTTCACGAAATATTTCCCGTCGAGCATTTTTTCTGACTCGGTCCTTTCCTCCCCACCGAACAAAGGGTGCAAGAGTATACTCCCCAAGACCTCCACGTTTTCCTCGGCTGCGCGGGCCGCCACATGGTGGGCTATGTTGCCGCCGGAGCTATCTCCGGCGAGGTACGCGTGGACTTTCCGGCGACCCCCTTCGCAGCTGCCGCTCGCCAGCCATGGCCTCGAGTGGGCCCACTTCAGGGCGGCCCAACCGTCTTCATAGGCGGCCGGGAAGCGGTGCTCCGGCGACCGGCGGTAGTTCACGGAGACGACGGCCGCCCGGCAAGTGGCGGCGAGGCGGCGGCAGAAGGTGTCGTATATGGCGCTGTTGGCGGAGGAGTGGACAAAGCTGCCGCCGTGGAAGAAGATGATGACGGGGACGGGTCCAGTTGGGCTGAGGGGTTGGTCGAGGTCTGGGAGGAGTTTGTAATTGGGCCCGGTGGGCCCGTTGTTGTGGGCCGGCATGTAGACGCGGTTGAGGAGGCCCGTGGAGCGGTCTATGATGACGTCGAAGGAGTAGATTCCGGCGATGGGGTTGGCGTTGGCGGGGACTTTGCGGTCGAGGAATTCGTTTAGGTCACGGTTGAAGGTGCCGTCGGGACGCCGGAGCATGTTGTAAGCAAGCTTGAAGTTTGAGATTAGGATCNTCGGAACTTTGAGGGGAAGAAAATTAGAAAATACAAATTTGGACATGAAAAAAGGAAAAAGGAAACAATATGTAAAAGTATTTTTCAAATCTTGTCTCCTAGACAAAGTAGGGCAATCGAAGGAAAGTTGAGCAAAAAGATGAGATGACATAAAAAAGAGGAAAATGAGATGGGGAAAATTGAGCAAACAGAGCTAAATAAAACCCCAACACACACAAAACGCAAAATGGGGTTTTGTGGCGATTGCCAAATCAATACATAAACGCGAGTGAAAAGCAAAGAGGGGGAATAGGAAGGGGCAAATACAATACAGGCATGGAAAAGCAACAAGAACCCATTAAATCAAATGTAAAACAAGATTCGATCTTTAGCCATGAAATCAAGTGTTATTCTGAAAATCAGCTCAAAACCCAGAATTGAAAGCCAGGAACACCTGAGAGAACCTCTAAAACAAACATAAAAAAGATAAAGATCTTTAGCAGCCAGGAAATCATTAGACAACAAAATGGAGCAAATATCTGCAATTTACCTTTGATTCGTTAGCATTTACTTCATCACTGCCGGCCATGAGTTGCTCTCTGATGAATTAGAAAATTTTGAAGAGAGAGAGAGAGAGATAAGAAGAGGGATAAAAGACGAATCTTTTTGCTGCAAGTATTATTTTTTCACCCTTTACTCTGTTTTTATGCGAACAGATTTTTCACTCTATTTCTCGCTCGTTTGCTTGAGCACTTTTTTTCACCCTTCTTTTTTCTGATTGAGATTGTCTGAACAAGAAACAAAGAGAGAAGACCTGACAGTGCTTTTGTTTCCTAACCCAACACAACTAGGAAAAGATCACAGAGAGAAAAATACAGGAGCGTGAGGAGAGAGAGAGATGAAGGCGGTGGATAAAAACAGGGTTATATATAAAAATAATTTTGGAATTTTTTTTTTCTAAATTACTTGCGGATAAAATAGAGGGATAAATGGAAACAGCCTGCGGAATTACTGTAGCAGACGAGAGAGTTTTTTTTAGAGGAAAAAGAATGAAGTTTTGGAGTGAAATGCAAAAGGAGGGGAAAGGTGGAGACGACGTAGACGACAAATGAAGTGGCCAAAATATCATTTTTTCATTTATTTGGGTGGGTTCTATAACATTTTGCCCTATTAGCTTGTATGGAATAGCTAAAAATGAATGGTAAATAAGGAATTTGACTAATACTGTTAAATTAAATGAGCTTGGTTTGACTCTTTTCATGCATGACTTGTTAAGGCTCGAGTTTGAGGCCTTAGCGAGCCGAGTTCGAGTTCGTTTAAATCTTATTTAGTTAACGAGTTGAGTTCGTCTCGGCTCAATAAGGCTCCAAAAGAAGATTTTTATATAATATCTTATAATTCGATTCGTTAAAGCTCGAGATCACCTCGTTAAGAGTCGAGCTGGAGTTCGATTTTTAGCTCGTTTATTTAATGAGCCGAGCCGACTCGAGCTCGACTCAGCTCATTTAAAATCCTAGATTTGACTACCAAAATTAGTTGTTTAAAAGTTTGATAAATAGTGAATTTTGTAACTATTTTAAAATTTTAATGTTATTATATTATGTGGTTGTATAATAATATGCGTATTTTTTGTTTTTTATGTGACAACTTATTTTATGGTTGTATATGTTGGAAATAATAGCTAACAAAAGAGAAAGAGACACTCAACAAAACACAAATTTTCTTTATTTAATATTTCTATCAAGAATAATATACAACACAAGGCTCAAACAAGTTCTTTTGAACTTTGTCTAAAAACTCTATTTCCTCCTTATCTTGAAAATCTTTAGGGAACACATAAAATGAAAATGAGTTTTGGGATTGATCAAGCTTTATCAATTTTCTTCATAAGATTTCACACAGAAGAGAAGTATATATAAGTGTCATTTGTCATGTGGTTACATATATAAGAATTTATTTTCACAACTCATCTTATTTTAATAGAAGACCATTAAACTTGAGATGAAACTTATGTTCAATTAATCTAAACTAACAAGTTTCAACTTTTGTAAAACTCATCTTATGACATGCAATGTAATGAAACTTATCTTACATTCATGCCTTGTGTAACTCAAGTTACACATGCATATAACATATAAGCTATCTTACACCTTTGCATGTAACATATAACCCATCTTACTTTTTATTTTAACCAAAAATATAACAGTATATATATGGTATTATAATATAGCCCGTTGATCGCTATTTAGAAAAACTAATAATAATAATAATAATAATAATAATAATAATAATAATAATAATAAGAACAATAATATGTATGCATGTGATAAAACTTAGGTGGCATTATGTTTATTCATCTATCACGGGTGTCTGTAGCTTTATAAAAATACTAATATGTGTGCATGGCATTAAAAACATAGTCTGATTGAACTTTACGAATAAATGTAATATATGATCATAACATAAATTAATAATAAATATTATAATTCCTAAATTTAAATATTTCAAAATGGTCAAAGTATACAATTTCAAAATGATTTTTCCAACATTTATTTACAGGTACAAAATATCAAGTTACACCCACTGATGCCTTTGGCAGAGGGGTAAAAAGAAACATAATTGGTAAGAAAATCCACATGATTGATTGGTCCTCTTTTTCCATTGCACAAGGAAAAGATCTTCACTTATATTGTTTTTGTTTGGAAATTGCAATGAGAAAGAGTTACCACATATTCACAAATATTTAAATAAATTAGTTACTGAAAAAGAAGACAAAAGGAGCAAAAAAAGAAAAATGTACACTTTCTCCACCGTTTTGACCGTGTGATGCACGTG